ATCCCGCAGAACCGCTCCACTGTGTTCCCCATGGAGAACCGGATGGTGTACATGAAGGGAATACCCAGCACCATCCCGCAGAACCGCTCCACTGTGTTCCCGATGGAGAACCGGATGGTGTACACAAGGGGAATACCCAGCATCTCAGCAATCACCTCCCCAGTAGGCACCAGTGGGTCTGCCAACAGAACATCAAAAGCAGATGCTCGCAGTCTCTCTAGCAGCGCTTCATTCTTTAGGAGCTCATCGCAAATGAGTTTGGCTGCATTCTTCATCTTCTGCAGCATTTCAATAGTCTTGTAAAAACCTTCCCAGACAGGTAGTGTTCTTTCCTCGTAAAACCAAAAATCAAAGGCTTCCTGTAGAAGGGCAGCCATCTCCTTTTTGGTCATCGGCACCTCGACCACCTCAAACTGGAAAGGGGAGGACTGGGTGGCATCAAGGATGAGGAAGCACGAAGGCATCAGCACCGTCACCTCGTGGCCCCGCACCACGAGCTCCTGCAGGATGTATTCCATGTTGAGCCAGTGGCTGTTATCAGCTGGCCACACCAACACCTTCCCCGCAGACCCCCAGCCCAACCCAGCCAGCAGCCACAGCGCTACCAACTCTTTGCCAGCCATTGCCTGCCCTGCACTGCAATGCCCACATGGGCTTCCTGGCAGCAGAGGAGCAAGCCAAACTGGGCTGGGCTTGTGTGACACTCCCTTCCTCTGGAGGGGAGGGAGCAAAGGCAGCTGGTGTGAAATCCTGTCCTGGATAAAGGGCATGGGGAAAAAGGTGGCTGGAGCTAGCAGGTGCTGTCTGGTGGTGGATGGCTCGCTGAAGCGGGAAGGTGTGCTTCCTCTGGAGGGGACAGCTGGGAGCTCGGGGAGGGGGGGCTCTGTTGTGTCCTGTTGGTCATCCTGGCCCCTGTGCCTCTCTAATTTCTGCTTCTATTTTTTTTTTTTTTTTTTTGGTAGCAGAGGTGATTCTCATCCTTCTCTGTGAAATGCAGCTGGGCATGCAGAGTTGTTCCCCCGTGGGCACCCTTTTGCTTTTTAAAGCCACTGTATGTCCCTTTACAGTGAGCTCAAGGTGGTGAGACAGGGCTGCAGCTAAAAAGTTCTGTCTCTAAGTGGATGAAACGACATGGCCAGTGACTCCAGCAGCAGAGTAAGAGTGCCCTCGTGTGAACTTGTCTCCTCGAGAGCGTGCGTCACGGGAGGCAGGAGCTGGCAGTGATGGTGTGGGCTGTCCTGCCTGCTACTAGGTGCCAATAATGTACCAGAAGTGCAAGCAGAAATTTTTTAAATTGTTTTATTTATGGTCATACTTCTGATGTGCCTTCAAGAAATAATGTAAGCCCTCTTCACTGTGCCAAAAATCATCACTGCTGGCCTCTTGTCCGGCTCTGTTGCTCACTGTTTTCCAAGTTATGTTGTGCAAGACTTTCACTACGTCTTCTGTGTTGCCTGGAGCACCCTTTCCAGGAGGAAAGCGAGTGGGATGGAAGCAGAAGGGCTGTGAGAAGCCAAGCTGAGATACCTGGTTTGGTGTGCTGGTGGAGTTCTGCAGCACGCAGGTCTTTGCAGGCAGTGGAACCTGGTGAGATTTGGAAGTGCTCTTTTTCCACAAGCTCAGTGTGAGTTTAGTAATCACATGTGCTCAACAGCCCTTTTTTAATACTTACATAAACAGGTTTTTCTACACACTCCAAACAATCCAGAAGAAAAGCCTGTGGAGGAAGACTTGTTGCTTTCACTGTTTGCTTGTGGGTAGAGGGTATATTTTAAATAAGTTATTTTTAATAAAACTTGTTTTGTGCCCAGAGGCTTGGTTCTCTGATATGATGGTGGTGATGTAAGTGGAGTCTCTATTACCAAGCCCCAGTGCATTTCAGTATTGCTGCTGGGGGTGGCAGGGCTGGCTGCTCATTCCCCAGCACTCCCTCCCGGTTAGGATCCCCTGGATTAGGAACACAGCTCTGTTCTGGCTGCTTTCTGCGCAAGCAGTCGCTGGAGGGGAAATGCGTAAGGTGTGCTTCCCTGGCTGAGGGCCCTTTGTAGTGTGGGAGCTGTTTCAACCTCCACATTAACAATAGTTCTGGTGGATGTCAAATCCATCAGTGGGATGACCGTGGACCCCTGTCTCAATGCAGTGGCACAGCACCTGGACATGGGAGTGGGTGTGATTGATGGACCCTGGGGGCTTGTCCCTTTTCCATGTAGGGACATAATGACAAATTTCTTGCTGGCTTCCCTCAGACCCTGATTTTGCTACCCTGCCAGGTTCCTACCTCTGCCGGTTGTAAGGCTGTGTAATGAGAAGTGAAGCAGCATCAGGCTTACCTAAGATCTTGCTATAGTAGACATCCCATTCTCCCCAGTAGCTCTGGAAAACGTAGTCTTGCAGGTGGTAAGACACGATGTTTTTTATTCTTTCACCAAAGGACATGCAGTCGGTGAGCTCGGACAGGGCTGCGGGAGCATAGGACGGCGGGGCTGGCATCTTGCCGCAGTGCCTCTCCACGGTGGAGGCTGGCGAGAAGCGCAGTGAGAAGATGAAGGGGATGGACAGCTGGAGAGCCAGGAGGTCCCCGCAGAGAGTCACCGGGTCTGACAGCAGCAGGTCGTAGCTGGAGCCCCGCAGGTGGGCCATCAGCTCTCGGTTGGTTAGCACCGCGTCGCACATCAGCCTGTTCATCCGGTGCCAGTTTTTGGACAGTTTCCCCAGCTCCTTGTAGAACTGCCAGAAGGTCAAGGTGGTTGGCCTGTTATTCAGCCACAGCGCCACTACGTCCTCGATCAGGTTCTCAACGGTGTCTTTCTTGAAGGGCACGTTATAGACCTCGAACTCCTCTGCGGCCCCAGCCCTGGGTTGGATGAAGAGGGAGGCGTTGGACACCAGGATGGTGACGCTGTGCCCGCGGTGGATGAGCTCCTCTATAACTATCCTCACGTTCAGCCAGTGGCTGCCCTCCGTGGGCCAGACCAGCACCTTCCCGCACAAGACAGGCCCTAGAAGAGTGACCTGAAGAAGGAGCAGCTGGAGGTATTTCTTAGAGCCAGTGGCTTTTGTGGCCATGGCAGGGTTAAGGGTTGGGTAGCCTGAGGGTGTTCCCTTCCAGCTGGGAAGTCTGGGTATAGATGGCTCTTTGCCAGCACCTTCAGCAAAGGCAGGAGTTTGGAGGTGCCCAGGTAGAGCCTTTCAAATCCACGTTGGGTCTCAGGTCTGTAAAGGCAGAAAAGGATGTTTGGTGTTGACTTTTCCCTTTCTGCCTTCTAGCCCGTTGGTTGCCCCCTGAGACATCTCCTTTCCCTGGGTAGTGGGGTGGCAGCTTTCCCTCTGCTCTCGGAGGTCCTTACTGCCTTCAAGATACATATTTTGCATGAGAATAATTTCATCCTTTATTGTTTTTTACCTTTTGTGGTTTTTCCCCTGAGGAGCAAAATCCCTACTATGGAAATGAAGGCAAATAGCAGGGGTCTCTTCTAGCTGTGTGAGTCCTGTGTCAGTAAATGCTGGCAGATTTGCCGTAAGTATTGGCAGATAAATGGCATTGCTGCCAACACTGGAGATGTACGGAGGTTTGCTGGAGAACGTACGACCACATCTGATGTTAAAATGCCTCTACTCAATTGGAAACAACTGGAAGTGGAATCCTTTTTCAGGGTCAGGTATGAGAAGTGCTGTTGTTTCCCATGCCCAGAGAAGGCAGCAAACCCTTCATTGAGGCGATGATAATACCAATAATGTGTCCTTTGTTCTGACATGGGACAGGTGGGCTTTGACCACTTCTGGCCAGCTCCTAAAGCAGGGGGCTCATTACTACTGTCTGGGGCACATGGGCACCAGCCTGGCCATGCTGAGGGCTTGGTTCAGGGTCTGAACATGGGGCTGGGGCCATCCCAACCCCTGAAGTTGCTTCTTGGAGCAAAACCCACATCTTCTGGGGTGGTTCTGCCATGGAAGGTTGGTGCTTGAATGTAAGGCGCTGTGCCCTGGAAGGAGCTCTAAACCACCGGGAGCCAAACCGACGACTAAACCCATGGATCAAATGGTTTGCTCAATCCAACACCATCCGAGGGACGAACGGCATGCAGCAAAAGCTCTTACCTGGTGGAGTCTTCCGAGGTACGTAAGTGTCGTGCTCCCAGTTGTAAGGCGCAGTTTGCTTTGTGAGGTTGTTCTCTTTGGCAGCTCACCTCCCCGGTGCCCGGGCAGCTCCGGCCAGGCTGGGGGTCGGGCAGGAGGGGCTTAAATAAATTCCACCCTGAATGGGGCTTTTCAACAGGAGGAAGTAATACAATCTGGGATGACCACAAGGAGGCAGGTATTCTGGGATTATCCCTTTCTTTGTTATGCTCCGGTAATTTGATAGTCGAGATAGTCTTCCCCATGTTAGGGAACATTAGTTTTATTACAGAGCCAGATTCTCACAAGGACTTTGCATCTTGTAGCTCAGAACTGTGGTGTCTGGCTGCTGAAAGACATTTTTCACTCTTGTAGGGTCTCAGATGGCAAAACAAAATAGTTTGTTAAATAATAGATTTGTTTATAAACTGTCCGCAGGAAAAATACAATCTCGTGGTTTGGTTTGTAGAGTTATTTAACAGCTGGTGTGTTACCTGGGCTGGGTGAGTGGCCCTTGATTCTGGACATCTTGGCAAGATTTTAATGCCTTGAAAATCTAGGAATCTAAAGATGCGTCTCCATGGTTTTTAATTTTTAGCTGTAATATTCAGCCTGACTCTTCTAAACCCCTCAGGGCGATTACTCCAGTGTGTTTCAGCAGTAGTTTGGCCCCACAGCCAGGAGCCTCGCTGTGATCTCTCCATGGACCTTTGTATTCAGGATAATATATATTTTTTTTTCACAGTTACTACGTTGGTCCTACAAGATACTTAAAGCTTTTCCAGCAACCCTTGAAAGGCCATCTCCATGTGGGCTGGGGTAGATGGGAGCTTTGGTTTAGTTCCTGACCCCTCAAGAAGCTAATTCCTCCGTAGCACATTAGTAGGGAAACCAGAGGGTTAAATTCCTCTTGTTTCCAGGGCCAGCTTTCAAAGATGAAACTCAGGTTACTCTTAATGCAGAGAAGACAAACATTTGGAGAGGATTACAGGAGAAAATCCAGCAGAGGAGAGAAAAGCAGGGCTGGAGGAGGCGGGTGGTGTTAAGTGTCGGTATTTCACAGAGGTAGCGTTAGGAGAGGAGAACTGCTGCAGAAAGTGATGCAAGCCCCAGCCTCGTTCAGTAATGCCGGGCTCTCCAAGGCTGGGGTGGGTTATGCGAAAGTTAGGCAATACGACGAGTGTTTTCCGCATTACGGATGTCTGTGTCATTGTGCTGAATGGGGGTTACAGGGTACATGGCACCTCTGTCAGTTCCAGAAAACTGTGATGCCAGCACCTCCAAAATTCGGGGTAGAAGAGGAAAGGTTTTGCCCTGAGAAGCACCAAATGACCCTGGTTTTCTTTTCTCTTGTTGCAATAAAGCAGCTTCTGGACTGAATGCAGCCTTTAAAGTCTTGGCTTTTTTTTTTTTTTTTTTTTCTTTGGAGTTGGGAAAAGTCTGGATGGGGAAAAACTTAAGGCTGGTTCATCCCCAGGTACAGACAGGAGTGAGCAAATTGAGCAATTCTGTGGAGGCATGTGTGTAAGCGCTCTGTAAAAAGCCAACTCCCATGTAATTCCCCGGGGTAACAGGGAAACTCCAGCACAAGTTAATGAGCTAACCACCCTTCTTGGCTAAACTATCTCTTTCTATCTCTACCCTGCAGCTGTAGGACAAAAACACCGTGGGCTAGGCTGATAGCATTTCTCTTGTGTTTATTGATTCAGTTTGGGATTTTATGATCTCTGTTCACTGCTGTTCCGATGCTGTGGGGGCACCTCGGCGGGTAAACGCACAGACACCAGGGTGGGTACGGCACACCCCGTCTTGCCAGCATCTGTCTGACACCCCCAGGGAAAGCCAAGGGCTGCAGAGATGAGCAAATCTGCAAATGGTGAGGGTGTGGGTGCGATGGGACCCATCTCACAGCTCACTGCCCCGGACAGGGGTGGTCACGCTCTGCCTCCCACCTTGTCCCGTGTGCTCGCTGCTCCTGCTCCTGCGCCAAGGCTTTCCCTCTGCTGGGTCAGCCCGCTAATGACTTATTTCAGTTGATGAGTTGATGAGCTTTGGGCCAAGGAATTGAACTAGTTGGGCAAAGACCAGGCTGTCACGGATCAGGGGCTGGCCAGCAGCTATTTATGTATAAATACGCTGGAATGCGTTTCTGTGCTCATCACTCCGCGAGGGAATGAAAAGTAAATTGGAATCCCTCCTGTTTTTTGGCTGAATCCTCCACTCGTATATAACCCCGCTGCTGTCCCGTAGCTTCCTGCTGGATTTCTGGTCTGAAGAGATTTGGAAGCAGAGCAAAGCCCATCTCTGTCTGGGTGAAATGATGAGAAATCGCTTTTGGTTATTCGGAGGCCGGGTGGTTGAGGTCCCAAGCCACATCTGTGTCTTGCAGGAGTGACGTTTTGCTGTTTGAGGCTGGAAGTTGCTGGCACAAGGTTTGTACCTGTCCCTCGGTGCACAGGCGGTACCCCTGCCCCTGGCTCCCCAGGAATATCCTCATGGGACGCCCCCACCTCGGCGCGCATCCTCGGAGGCAGGCTCCTCGCCAGCACCGCCTGTGACCGCGGCTCCTCTCGTGTTCCGGCGTGCGGGGAAGGCAGAGGCTGCGTTACCCCTGATGTGGCAGGTTTGGAGCTGATCCGTCGCGGGTGAGTCTGGGGCGCAGAGGGGAGCACTCATCTGCTGCGAACTGGCGTGTGGAGGGAGCGTTCCTGCACGTCTGCCTGGGAGGTGGGTACAGGCACCCCCTTGGCTCCTGGGAAATTGGATCGGGAGGTCTGGGCTTGGGCTTCACTTCGAGGGATGCCATTCCATCCCTGGGGGTGTTTCATCCAGAGAGGTTTGGGTTTCCTCCCTTGTTTACGCTGGAGGCACAGTTGGGATTTCAGCGGGGGGCTGCTGTGCCCCGTGTCTGGGGTGTTTTGGGGCTGAAGGAGCGAGAGTGAGCCTGGGGCGGTGATGGAGGAGGAGGAGCATCCTCCTCTTTGGGTATCATCAGCTCAGGAGTCTCTGCAGGTGATGTGGGAGCCCCTCACTCGCGTGTTCTGTGCATATCAGGGATCTCACCCAAGCTCCTGCCCTGGGGTCCACGGGAAGCCCCTTCGGTCGGGGCTCGGCTCCTGGGTGGCCACGAGGATGGGTCCTCGGTCCCCAACGGAGCTTGCACCTGCGTGTGTGCACCTTGGCACCGGCAAGCAGTGGGAAGAGGTGCGTTCATATTGGGGATTCGAAGTCCTGGTTTTACCGGGGTGTTGAGGAGGGAGCTGCGTCCGTCCTGATCTGCTGGAGGGGGCTTCAAGGGCACGGTCGCTTCTGCAACCCCTCCCCTTGCCTCAAACCCAAACACTTGTTCCTTTGCTGGGGGCTTAGTTTATACCTCCCCAGAAGCTCTGGGGCACGGCGTTTTAATTTCAGCCCCCCCCGGCTGGTTATGTTGCATCTCTTTGGCTGCCAACAAGCGCCATTTCGACATCGGGGAGGGCAGGTGCTGGTATAATCGCACTTTGATCTGGAGACAAAAGCTATAGACTTAAAAAAAAAAAAAAGGCAACCCAAACTGGTTGTCTCTGGCAGTATTTGAAGCACCTTACACAGGAG